CTCAGCACAGGTTGGGAGGTGGGTAGAAAGTTGACTAGCCCTGCCCCCATCTATGACATCACAATCTACCTCATAAAAGGTAGTGAAAGTGCTCTGAACTCCTGTCTGATTTCCGAGAGATACAGAAAAGAGAGAGTGAGAGAGCGAGCAAGAGAAAAAAAAAAACGTACCCTACTTGGGAGGGGATTAGGGAGGTGGAAGAGGGAATGGGTAATTGGGAAAAAGAGGTATATGAAGGAATTAGGTGCTGAAAGAGATATGTGTGGGCCTTCTTGACATTAAATAGCCCAGCCATTTGGATTCTTCATTGGCTCTTGAACAGATAAGGGGACCATCTGGGAGAAGGATGAAGAAGCACTCTGCCTTGTCAGGCATTGTAGGGGAACCATGGTATTGGAGTTCAAAGGGGATGAATCCCCTATTTAAAGCACTGAAGATCACCAAGAGAGAAAGCAAGGGCTGCAGCTCTTAAAGCCTGGAACAGTGCACGGGGATCCCAGATGCCTTTCCTGGAAGTTCCATCGCCCTGCTGCGTGACCTTCATCAAGCCCTCGGCCCCTGCACGTCCAGCCAGAACATGGCACTGTACTAAAGGGATACTTACCTCTTGCACTGGGATCACTGGAGGACTAATGCATTCATTATTGCTACAACTGCAACTCTTTTTACTCTTCCCTTTTGCACCCAAGGGTGAGTTGTGTGAGGGGCATAAATAAAAGATAAGCCAATAACCAATGCCTGTTTCTACCTTTAGAATCCTTTTGTAAAATTTTCTCTTCAATATAAAATATTACTGATAATCTTCACTAAGTTTTTCTGTGTGTACCAAATATATATCTAAAAGGAATAGTTAGAACTTATCTTCAAAACTATAGAAATATCAAATGGCATGATTTCTACAATCACAAGATCCCCTGCACTGCCACCCTCAGAGGTCAAGTTTATGTGACCCAGTGAGGCTAACTGACTAAATGTGTTAGTCACAAGCAATTCTCCTATAGCCATATCGTTGCTGAGTGTCTAAGTTCAGTTCTTATGGGAAACTATATAAGATGGTGAGAATAATGTGTAGCCTACTAAGGTATTTTTTTTCAAATGGAGATTAAAAATATGAAATACTTAAAATTGTAGAGTGGGTTTTATGGCAAAACAAAAGTAATGAGTGATATTGAAGACCAGGCAGGTCCTGAAACCATCCACATAAAAGCCAGATTTTCATCTGCCTAGTTGAATGTATGAAAAGTCAAACGATCTCTTTCCACATAAAATGTTCTAGTAAAACTAACAATTCAAAATAGCTTATGATTCATGGCACCGTAAATGGGTAGAAATCCAAAGCCTGTTTCCATATGCAGACAAACAAAATTCCTAATTTGCGACTTTTAAAAATGTTTTAAGCCAATATAGTTCTATTTCTAAACCTGTCATTCTTAGCTTACTAGATACATATTATAATAATCACAATTTAAAATTAAGCAAATTTGTCAAATTAGGGAGCAGTTTGAAACAGAACCTACTAGATTCAAACCGATTATGAATTTGGCAACATCAATTTCATTTTTCACTTCATTATAAATGTTAAAAACATTTAAAGAATGTCTTTAAAGACTTACAGACAGTAGAAAAGAAAAAAAATATCATCTGGTATATAAAAAGATGGGTATTTTTCCTACATGACTTTTTCTGTACCTATTAGAGGAAGCAATGATACTCTGCATATATTTTTCTTGGTGTATTATTTATTCTATTTCCATTTTCTATAATTCTAAGTCTAAATTCAAATTTAGGCTTTCGTTGTATAAGATTTTGCAATGAATAGCCCTATGAGGTATTATTTGATCTCAATTTTTACATATTGGATCATTGACTAGTTGGCTTATCCTTGTTTTTTATAATTTGTGAAAATCTCATTCAGTTTTATAAATTAGGCATCTCCTGATTTTCATATTGTAGAAAATGGATTAGTCATTTACTATTATTTCTCAGTTTCAAAAAGTATTATGTATTAGAGACTTATTTGGGTCATTTCACCTCATTAAAAAATTAAAGATAATTAAGATTAATGATGCAATTGTCCATTCTTCCAGTAAACACCCTAGGATTTTTACCACCCAGAAAAAAAATACACTTATCCCAACAATATTAGAATAAAAATGTAGTTAAATACTTATTAAATATTGAAATGGAATAAACTGAATTTAGATGATAATCTATTGACATTTCTTACTAATCACTTATTGTCTATTTGGGTCATTTCACCTCATTAAAAAATTAAAGATAATTAAGATTAATGATGCAATTGTCCATTCTTCCAGTAAACACCTTAGGATTTTTACCACCCAGAAAAAAAATACACTTATCCCAACAATATTAGAATAAAAATGTAGTTAAATACTTATTAAATATTGAAATGGAATAAACTGAATTTAGATGATAATCTATTGACATTTCTTACTAATCACTTATTGTCTATTTGGAAATGGAGCATGACTTCAGGAACCCAATGCAAAACTAGGCTGCATCAAAAGGATGCAAGTGGTGAACTGTGCTGACCTTTTAGGTGAATTTAGTATGATTGATTGTGATAATGCCTTTAGTTGTGATATTAATTAAAATAATAAAACTTTCTTTGACAAAAGATGCAATGGCAGGATCTGATAATTTCCAACTCTTCTTAGAATCTAACCTCTTGATATTGTTCATGAAAACTAAGTCATACTCCAACTATGGATGTGCTGCCCACTTCCCAGGATATTGCATAAATGGATGAGTAGCCCTTCAAGACAAGATATAAAACGTTTCAAGATGTCAGTAGTCAGGGGACTCCATTATTGTAGTAATGGTTATAATTTTATTCTGACCTAACCAGAGAGATGTAGGGCTGGTTTTGAATTTTTGTTTGAGATTAAAAAGAAAGAAAATTTGTTTAACTTCTTAGTACAAAGGATGGAGAAAAGTCACGTGAAATAATCTGTACATTCCAAAAAAAAAAAAAAAAGCCAATCTGCAGATGCATTTATAAAGTAATTCTTCATGAAAGATAGGATCACACAGGTGTAATGCAACTTGACCAAAATGTTATTATTGAAGACAAATGCCTCAGTAAGAGGAGTTCCAACAAAAATTGACAGCAGTAGATTTGAATTGGGAGTTCCTAAAGAGATGTTTTTAATTTTACGGTAGTGTCTCTCATACACAGAAATTTGGGCTGAAAAGAGTGTGTCGTTCTTAGAAGATGATATTGACTGTAACTTCTCCAGGATATTCTCAATGGCAAGATATTAATAGGTTTGCCAAAGAAAATGGATGGACAAGGTCAAGAGACAGGTTGCACAGATTTGACAAAATATCTAACCAGAGTCCCAGTCAATTTCATTATCAGTAAGGCATCTGCACAAAGGTATTCAGATAAATGTAATAAGACACGGTATTGATGATGAAAGAAAAGATTAAAAGCCTCAATTAAGAAAGCTTGCCTTCAAGAAAATAGAATTAGGATGAAGTATTTAAAATATATTTATTTCTCAGAAGGAAAATGACTACTCAATATAGAGTAAGACAATGTGTTCTGAAACAGTAAAAGAAATATGAAGGAAGAAAACTCCACATTGCCTATCCGAAGCCTTTCTTATTTGTAAGATACATGGGCCATAATGTGGTACATAGTTCTCTTCTAAGGGCTGTAATCAAGCCCATATTTTGTAAATCATTTAAATTAGTCTGGAGAAAGCACTTGACAAAATAATCTGTAGGGACAGAATGTAGACGACAGTAAGTTAAACACACTCTTATTTCTAGAATGTACTAAACCAAGGAACAATGAATGCACAGACATAGTCATCAACTGAACCGTTTTAGCCAAGAACCCTGAACATTTCAGTAAGCTGAGAAACTACATAGAAAAAAATAAACATATAATACACAGTCTAACAAAAACATAATGAACAGAAAAATTTATCTTTTTCATGAAAATTATTTGGTATTAGAGATAAAGAGACTTTGAGTTCCCCAACTCAACCAACATTTATCACTGTGCCTTTTAAATAGCAGGAATGCAACAAAAATGTTGAATTCAATGAATCGAAAAATATTCTTTTGTGAACAAAAATTAAATCAACTCTTTGAAGCCCTGATAGTTATTTATATAGTTTGTCATTAGAAATTAGGAACAATGTATGGAAACAAATCTTTTTGTAGGAAAATATTGTCAAAATGTTATCAAATACAGTACTGAATTTAAAAATCATGTTCCAGTTTTGCTATTGGGTCTTTTTATTTTATTTTAACCATCTGTGGTAATGGAAAGATGTGCAAAATCAAAAATAAAAACCCCATATAATCTTTGCTCTATGATTTTAATATCTATTCACTTGTTACTATTTATTTATATCAACTTGTTCACATTTTAACTTTTTTCTTCAACAGCCTTCACTGCAAAAATTCTTGGGGCAAGTCCAAGTAGAAGCAAGAAAATAAATACAATAGATTTAAGTAAACAATTCTTAATAATCTATTCTGTGACTACAGCTAACAAATCTAAGTGCTTATAGGAGCTTAATTTACAGAAACGGTTTCTAAATAAAGATATTCACTCAACACTTTGGCTTCCCATAATTTGGTTCAATGTAAGGGAAAAGGTATATCTGGGTTTACTCTTATATATCCAAAACTGGTTCAAAATTGG